TACTATTAAACTGTGAGGGAATATTTAGATTGGGTGGCGTCTGGTTATTTGTTAATCTAGCCACTGTGCTAAATAAAAACCTTGGATTGTTTTGGTTATTTTCTATGAGTTTCTGGATATGCTCGGCCCTGGAAGCTTTTAGAGCCTGTCTATAGCTGTTTTTCCATGCAATTCTAAAAACTTCCAAGTTAGTTTTTCTCCATTTGCGCTCAAGACTATCAAGACTAATTTCTTTTGCATATCTGACAGTGTAACATTAAGCATAAGTATTTCGAATGAGTTAAACTTGTATCCTGTAAACTTGAATCAGTGATGTTTTGTCTCAATGACCTCAAACCTGTACAGCAAGTTTGAAAATGCACATGTGTGAAATTCAAGAGCTGCTGCTGTGTGGTTTGAGAAAGAGCAGCTTTGGGTTCATCAAAATATATTCTTGTGTGTTCTGTGGGGGAAAAAAAGTCATATAGATTCGGAACAACATGGGGCTGAGAAAATAACAGAATTTTAATTCTTGGTGAAATTTCCCATTAATGAAAGCTTTGTAATTATTGATGCATGTATGAAAAGTCAGTTCCTACCTTTAATTTACCATCAAAAGACATCACACATATGAACATCAAAAGCAGTGTCATATGTGACGTTAAAGCACTTTTGCCTTAAATGTCATAAATGAAATGTAAAACAAATGTAAATGGTTAACACAAGTGCAGTGTGCACTACCTTTTAAACAGATTCCCTAAAGCATCAAGCTACGAACAGATTATCAGATTTATTAATTTATTATGTGGTTTTCACCTAAACATAAGCTTTGTATTGAGTTCATTTTTGCAGCAGTGCTGGTGATGCCATTTCCCCATTTTTTTTTTATTCAGGACAATGTTTTTATTCTGGACAATTCAGGACAGGACATTTTTATTTAGGACTGCTGGCACCTCGCTTTCCAAATCTGAGATATTTGTTTCTCTTCATGGCTGTTCTTAAGCATCTGTGTTTTATACATGTTTTGTTATTCTTGGTTCTGTTTACTTCTTGTGGTGATCCGCCTTCTTGCGATTCACATAATTTTGCAGTTGAGCCCTGAAAGAGCCCAAATCCTGGATAAAGAGGTTGAGTGAACCTGGTCTGGACTTTGTGAAGGAGGATCATGGTATCTGAGACACTGTAGAAGGACAGCTGTCCTGCCCGGTGGTCCAGATACACCCCGATCCAGTGGGACAGGGGTACACTGATCTCCGTCTCCTCGTTGTTGTGCACTATTGCGTATCTGAACATGGAACAGTCCAGACTCCAGGAGTGCCTGTTGTACCCAAACCCACTGTCGTCTCCTTGCCCAGTTCTGTTGATGTCTTTGTAGGACACTGCGAGGTCGACGCCGTACTGTCCGCTCCAGACCACCTCCCAGTAGCAGCGACCTGTCAGACCTTCCTTGCTCAGCACCTGGGCCCACCACTCAAAGCGGTCCGGATGTTCTGGATATGATTGGGGCTCAATACTGCAAGCCACAGCCTGGTTCTGTTCTGTTAACCGAAGGTTCCTGTGGGCCGTGTTTGGGTCCAGACTCAAGGGAACCAGAACTGATGAAATGAGAAACAAGGTGAAAATGCAAAACCCAAGTAAAGCCCAGCTTTACCCCAAGACCAGTGTATGCACACTTACTTGGGTCTTCACAACTTGTCTTAGAATGTAAAACAGAACTTAATGTGAATGAAGTATCCTTAGGTAACAAACCAGTACTAAGGCTAAGCATCTTTAGGGATTGGGATTTTTCCTATTGTACAGTACCTTACCTCATTGTGAAGTTTTGGGGACTATTTAAAGACTGGAATACACTACTCGATTTTTGCCCTGACTTTCCATTGATTTATTGTCAGAAAAAGTTGATGCTAGTCTGCAGATTTGAGTTCAGAGAAAATTGCATGGTGTATGATGGTCACAGACTCCCTTTTTTTCAGCTTCAGACTATGATTCCATCCAGTTGGAGAATATCATACATGTTTGATATTTTAAGTTGATTTTATAACACTTATTGTTTTCATTGGTCAACAAGGCGCATGTTTCTGTGTGAATTTGTTGTGATTGGAACAACTTTAATGTCTGGTAGTGTGTGAATCTAAGTCGTTTAGAGTAAGATGGCCAGTTTTTCCTCTGTGACAATTACAAAGTCGGTAAGTGTATGATACCCAGTGTTTTAAATTTGGTTTAAAAGGTGTGTAGTGTATTCCAGCCTTAAATTTGAACAAAAAGGTAGAATGACTTACACTGTATAAAGTCCTCCCTTGTCTTGGGTTCTTGCGGCAGTAGGATCTTTTCTGCAGTCACTAAAGAGACGTGAGATGTGACAGAACAGATTGGTTATTTCGGAACCTGCAGACCATTTCACAAGAGGTTGGACACATGTAAAATTGTGGAAATCCCAAGTGTTCCGTCGAGTACTACAGAGCCACAAAGGTATGACCCTCTGGCTCACCAAAGACACTGTCTTGCAGAATTTAGCCCCAACCATAATAAAATACACCTGCCTGTAAATTTCAAGTAATCATCAAGACTTTGATTAGGGTTGGAGCTAAACTCTTCAGGATAATGGCCCTTGAAGGCCAGATTTGCCCACTACTTTCCTAAAGTGACATGGAGATGGATAAGATATGAGATTTGTATTTCAATGCTTTTTCATTCCCCTGAGAAACTCACAAAACTTTTGCATTTCCTTGAGAAAGTATGCATGGGGTTTTGTGAGGGAATGCAAAACATTTTAATGCACAAGCATTGAAATATGTTATCCTCCCATCTCATTTTTTTTTCTTTTTCTGTCATATCCCTCTAGGGTCTTCGGAGGATTCTTAACAGCAGGATTCCGCAAATCTTGCCCTGGAGGGCCAATGTCCTACAGAGTTTAGCTCCAATGCTAATTAAACACCTGAGCAAGCTTATCAAGGTCCTCAGGATACATAGAAAGTTTGATCAGTGTTTGAGCTAAACTCTGCAAGGCAGTGGCCCTCCAAGGACCGGATTTGAGGATCCCTGCTTTACAGGTAGGTAAAGATTCAATACTGAACTATAGTTACATCCTACTTTCAACCTCAGCCCACTTACCAGCGGTACATTAAGTTAGCTAAAGATGCTAAAATCCACCAGTTCCTATGTCAGTGACAAATTCTGGGAATCTGTGATTAACAGGTTTGTATCAATCAAGTGAAACAGTAAATGAAACCGTCTGTACTTGTTGCTTTCAGACGTATGGAAATTCTAACCACAAAGGTCTAGTTCTTGTAGGACATTAGTGGGTCAAACGGGTCTTATACTTTAGACTAAAATTGTTTTGAAGGCAACCACTTCTGTGGACCAAATTTGTTCATCACCCATCACTTTTTACCTGCTGAGAATATCCTGGTTGTTTCCAGTCTCCAAATGTCCTTTATATGTGCTGTTAATGAGGTGAGGGACTTGATCACTTCTCCAAAAGAGAACTGTGGATTAGTTGTCAGGCTTTGGAAGTCATTAGAAGTCGGCCAGCGGGATTGGACCTCCTACAAGATTTGGAGATAATCAGGAGAGGAAAGAAGGTTTCTACCACACATTTAAAATAGGGACTTTAAGCAACAGCTGCAAATGTAACGGAAGTAAGCTGTTAAACCGCCGTAGCCGAGAACGTAATAATCACTAAGCAACGCGGTATTCAGTCATTTATTTAAATATTATGAGGAGGATGTTTAGGCAATACTTACATCGTTTGCTTCACATCATCTCTAGTCTCAGTGCTACCTGAGATGTTGTTGCTAACAGCAGACATATCTTTGTTCAAACGGAAAAATCGTTAAAATCAGTTTCATTTCAAAACCTATAAACAAAGATTAAATAAAAGACTAATGGTAGAATCGTATACTGGTGCAATTACAATGGTATATACCATAAAACGTAACATTTACCAACCTAATCTGTCACGTTGTAACGACTACGGCAAACCAGCTAAACCAGCTGTTCTCCTGTAGTAGAAGGTTATAGTAGAACCTCATGAAGTAGCAGTTAAAGTCGGGCATGCGCAATATGACGTCGAAATGCTGTTGCCGTTCCTTCAGTGGCTGTTGCTTAAAGTCCCCAATTAGTCATTTGGTAGCCACTTTGGTCCAAAGTGTATTGTAGCAAATGGTTTGCTCTGTGATGGGATTAAATAAGCAATCCACTGATAACAAGCTCTAAGCTTGAGTCTCTACATCAGCATTAGCTGAAAGACTTTGATGATACAATTTGTTGATCATGAATAATGCAAGCTTTGTATCAAGACTATAATAATGCATTTATTCAAATAGTGTCTTGGTGTGTTTTCAGTTCTGGTGGTGCTTTTACCTGGAGGAAATAGATGTGATCATCAGTATGTGAAAGCTGCTCCACCTCGGACTGCTTTCTCTTCAACTTTGAGATCTCTTGTTCCAGATCTTGCGAATGTCCCTGAATCCGGTTCAACTCCGTGGTCATCTGACTTTGGACCAGCATAATTATCTCAGTGTGGCTTCTCCGTATAAAGCTGAGCAGTTCGGTGAAGATCCGGTCACCTTCTTCCTCTGTGGCTTGAGTCAGTTTCTGTTAGTGGAAATATAGCAAATTTAATTTATTTATAATATATATATAATTTGTTCTTGTTCTTGGTTTCGGTGAAGTGTGTAACTTTTCTGCACCGTTAATGGCACCAAATTGAATGATAGTTTACAAACAGCCCATCTTCTGTGTTCTTCTTCATCTTCTTGTTCATGGTTCAAGTCACTTTGGGAAGTCAACCAGTGGCTTAATTATAGCTTATGCCTGTTACTAGGAGGTAGGAGAAAGTGTTTGGAACATTATTTTACTTTTTAATTTGTCTTACCCTGAGTCTACCTGATGCATTTTGGGTTTCCTTCAGCTCTGTCTCTCGATCCGTAACCGTCTGCTTGGACTTTTCCAGCTGCCTCTGGGAATCATTGGACAACGTCATTCAAGATCCTGTTTTACGTTCTCAGTCTTTTACATTTAGCATCACAGTTTTGACTGAGAACTACTGCGGTATCACAAAGATGCTTGAGGCATTTTATGTGTGCCATAACCTGTTGTACCTGGTGACTGTTCTGGCAACTTGAATTAGGTATGTCTCTCTTATTGTCATTGCCTTTTAATCATTATGTCTTTGTTCGGAAGAGTTTACAAAGACTTTTTTTGAGCAACATCAGGCACAGTTGTTGAAGTCCATAATGGCAGGCCCCCTCCAAAATCTTGTTCATAAACAAAACTGCAACTGGATATTCCCATACGGATTCTCCCAAATACAGTATTGTATTTTACAATGTTTTTAATCATTATGAAGTCTTTTTGAGCAGCATCTGCTCTATAGCTTTAGAACCAAGTCTAAGACGACAATCCCTCACCAAAATCCATTTCATGAGCCAAACTGCACCCAACCATACTTTCAAACAATGCTTGTCTCTTATTGTCACTGTTTTTAATCATTATGTTTTTGTACTGAATAGTTAAAGATATTTTCAAGCAACATGTGCTCTGTAGTTGTAAAACCAAGTGCATGACAACAATCCCTCACCAAGATCCCGTTTAACTGCAACTGGCTATTCCCAAATGTATTCACCCAACCAGTTAATTGACTGCCTTTCAAACATGATTGTCTCTTATTTTCTTTGGCTTTCTTGATTTTAATCATTAAAGGGATAGTTCACTCAAAAATGAAAATTCACCCTCATGTCATTCTAAACCCGTAAGACAAATTAAGATATTTTTGATGAATTCTGAGAGCTCTTTGACCCTCCCATAGACAGCAATGTAATTACCACAATCAAGGAGATTGGTAAAATAATCCATGTGACATCATTCAACCATAATTTTACGAAGCTACGAGAATACTTTTTGTAAGCAAAGAAAACAGAAATCTCCTTGCTTAACAATCTCCTTGCTATGTTTCTGGACCTTGATCGTGTTAATTACATTGCTGTCTATGGAGGGTTAGAGAGCTCTCGGAATGCATAAAAAAATATCTTAATTTGTGTTCCGAAGATGAACGGAGGTCTTACGGGGTTGGAACGACATGATGGTGAGTAATTAATGACAGAATTTTCATTTTTGGGTGAACTATCCCTTTAAGGTTTTGTTCTGAAGAGTTTACAAAGTCTTATTTGAGCAACATCTACTCTGTAGTTGTGGAACCGAGTCCACACCAACAATCCATCATCAAAATCCTATTTGTTAACCAAACTGCAACTGGCTATTCTCAAACATTCACCCAACCAGTTAAAAATGGCTTGTTTATGCATTGCATATTAAAAACTTGTACTACTTTGGACTCAAACCGACCCTACCCCACCTTTACCTGTTTCTCTGCTCGTTCTGTAGCAGCCGAGACCATGTCATGTCCTTTGTGGTTGGCGTCCAGCATGCAGAGGCAGCAGATACACTGGTGCTCAGTGCGGCAGTAAACCTCCAGGAGCTTAGGATGTTGGGGGCATGTCTTTTTTTGGAGTTCTCCAGTGACGTCCACCAGTAAGTGTGCTTTCCCCACATTCAGTTCATTGTGCAACCTGAGGTGAGTTTCACAGTAAGACGCCAAACACACCAGACATGTTTTGATGGCTTTCTCTTTCCTGTCACTGCAAGAGTCACACTCCACGTCCTCAGCTTGCTCCGTCTGAAGTCCTGTCCTCTCCAGTGCCTCTGCAACACAAGCAACAGATCTGTCTGGATCTGATACAGAGGCATTGGAATCATCCAGATCTGCAGCTGGAGCCTCATATTCTTCTGGATCTGCAGCTGGAGCCTCGTATTCTTCTGGATCTGCAGCTGGAGCCTCATATTCTTCCAGATCTGCAGCTGGAGCCTCATATTCTTCCAGATCTGTCTCACATGAGGAACTCTGTTTACACCGAGGGCAGCTGTTTTCCTGCAGGTCCTGGAGGCAAACCGAGCACATGCGTGAGTCCTGTTCATCTGCCATTTGCATGGAGAGCAAGGAGCTCGGTGTTAAAGGGACTCTACAAACAGTTTAGTTTAGTTTCTTTCTTTTCCTCGTGCGTGTTTGTGGGCGGGACTCTCTTATGTGTGTGTGTGTGTGTGGCCACAGATAAAGAGACAGAACTGAAGCTTGCTCTAATGTGAAACCTAAACCCAGAGAGACACACGGTTGCTTGCCAAGATAATGTTGCTTTGTGATTAGCAAAATAATACCAGACTAACCAGCTAGTTAAATTAATTCAAATATTGTAAGTGCACAGGAGAGACACTGTACCATCATGTCTCTTTTTCCTTTGACAGCCATTATTGTGTATTTGCATACAGAACAAAAGTGAGACATTTTACATCTTATTAAACTGTTCTTTTTAAACCGTTTTTTTTTTTTTTGTCCTCAGCATTCACCTCTAATGAGTGTGTGTTAGATAAGGTTTATATATGTGTGCAAAGTCCAGGTGGCGTGCAATTGTCAAACAGAAACTTGTGTAACTTGTCAAGAGAGACAATAAAACAGTAGGAAGAGCCATAATATGGGCTGTTTCATAATTTAATACTTTTTGTTTCATAAGTTTTTCATATGTTCTGTTTATAAAGTGGCATGGTTTATTCTTTGGTTCATGTCATTTCTCTGATCAACATCATTGGAATTATTTTAATGTTTTAAAATCAATATTGATAACTCCAATGATGTTAATGAGTAATAAATGTTCTCATTTTCCCATAAAGTCCTTGTCTAATGGCTGACCTAGCAGATATGCTTTATAAATGCTGATCTTTATGTAGTTAATATAGATGTCCATGCGTAGGCTATTTAAAGCAGAAGTACATTACAGAAGGATGTGCACTTTTTCTCAACATCAAGACTTCAGTTAATGTATTTGTATATGGGAAAATGTACGTATGTTGTAATTGGTCACCGTTTCTTTGAAGTTTTCACTTGCTTCAACTAAACCTCTTCATGACCACTTACAACCCAATAGCTGGTTCAAAACAACCCAACCGCTGGGTTAAAACAACCCAATTATATTTAACCCAGCATTTTTTAGAGTGCATCTTTTAATAAAAATAGATCCAAATGACGACTTACCCTTACGAAAATTAACCACGGTTTTACTGTAGTAAAAGTGCAGTACCCATGTTTTTTTGGTGTTGATTATTATATGTATAGCCACAGTTTTACTACAAATACCATAAACTAGTTAAACTATATGGTTAGTGTAGCAAAACCATGGTTGCCCTACTGAAAAAAAACCAATAAAACTTAAATAAAAAAATTTTTTTTATGGTTTCCACTACAAATACCATTACAAACATTACAACCCGTCCACTTTTAACCATTAAAATCATAAAAAAAAAAAAAAGTTTTCTGTAGTGTGTTTTGGGACGTATTCCATTAGGATTGGTTTTAACAAGCCACCAATCGAAAGTGACCAATTACCAGTAGAAATCCACAGGGTCCATTACAGTTTCCAGTAAAACCAATACAAGTCCCATTATAACCAGTAAAACCATTACAAATTTTGTAATGGTGTCTATTGTTTTTTTTTTTCAGCAGGGTAATTTGTGTTTACCATGGTTTAACTATAGTAACCATGTTTTTTTTTTTTTTTTAATTTGTAGTAAAACCATGGTTAATTTTCGTAAGGGTAATTTGATGCGATTTAATGACTACACTCTAAAAGATGCTGGGTTAAAAAGGGACAAACCCAGCTATTGGGTTGTTTTGACCCAGCTATTGGGTTGTTTTGACCCAGCGGTTGGGTTGTTTTGACCCAGCTATTGGGTTGTTTTAACCCAGCGGTTGGGTTGTTTTGACCCAGCTATTGGGTTGTTTTAACCCAGCGGTTGGGTTGTTTTGACCCAGCTATTGGGTTGTTTTAACCCAGCGGTTGGGTTGTTTTGACCCAGCTATTGGGTTGTTTTAACCCAGCGGTTGGGTTGTTTTGACCCAGCTATTGGGT